GGCCCAGAGGGAGCGGTCTTTCCTATTCCTGTCTCCCAAGATCATTTTGATTGATGAACACCAGGCCCTGAAAGTCTATGCTCTGTCTCTCTGCCACCAAGCACCAGTGGGCCTCAATGCTTAGTGGCTTGGGCTAGAAGCTGTGAGACCTGGGTTCAAATCCCTACAGAAACAGGAAGCTCTTTAGGTAACTATGGGCCAGTTACCATACTTAGGAGGAAGGAAATGGGGAGGAGGAAATGGGGAGAGGAAGAGCCTTGAGGTCCCTGGAGGAAAGGTGGGGTACAAATAAAATATAATAGAATTAAATGACATGGAAATTTAATCTACAGTTTGTGGGGTTGCTGCTCATCCCCATATGTTGTTGTTGGTATCCGTCTGTTTTGGGAGACAATGGAGGAGTGTGCCTTTGGTGGTTAAGTCAACTTGTTGCTGCAGCTGTAGGGACTAATACAGGAGAGACATGTTTTGTTGCAGCAGGGGCCGATGAAAGCATGTGGTTGTGCTGTTGTAGATGCACCACGGCGTCTCTTTTCTCTGCACTCCTCCCAGTAGTCATTCCTCCTCTGGTCACTGCTTATGGATACATGACCTGACTATCTGTCTGCAGGCACTGTGGTTGTCTGCAAGGATTGATGCTGCCAGCCTTCCTGTTACTTTCGCAGACATCTTTGCAATGCAATATTGGTCTGCCAGTGGGTCTGGTGCCTGAAGCCACCCCCCCACCCCCCGTAGGGAGAGCACATATTTATTTGAAACTGCCCTGCCGTGATGTTCCCCCATCTGGGTATATTATTTTTTAAGCAAGGAACCTTCATAGGGATTCTAGACCAATAGGCTGCCCTTGGGAAGATCCCCCATCTGTCATCACTGACAGATGTTTAACTCTACATGGTTGAGATGAAAGGAGGCTCCAATGAGATGAAAAGGAAACGCCACACAAAATGTTCCTGCAGAACAGATAGGTTCCAGGTGGCTTAACCCAAAGGTATTTCCAACATGGTGCACATTGGCCTGTTTCTTGCATGCCCCTTTTGTGGCATGAAATAATCAGCAGAGTATGGGGGAACCTTTCATGAGCACAGTGGATCTGCCTGGATACCAAAAACTGGACTAGAAGTTCATCAAATCCAATATTACCCCATCTAAAAAACCTCAGTATTATCTAAAACAACAACAGCCCACTATTTTCAGAAACCTTGTCCGAAGAGAGAAATTCAGGTTTCTGAAAATAGTGGGCTGTTGTTGTTTTAGATAACTCCATTAGCTAACTCCATTAGCACTATCTCCCTAAATTTTAATTAACAAAGGAGAAAATGGCAGCACCTCCTCCCTTAAGACCCATACTTGTTTCTACTACTTCTCTCTCCCCACTCATACCACCCTTTCCATTCTTCATTTAGCGATTCCTTTAGCTACTGTATTTCACAACCTAGATCCAAAGAAGGAGCTCGCAATTCCTCAAAGGCTTCCCATTAATAGCTAACCAGGTTGCTCACTTTGTAATGAGATTCATTATAAATCTGGGGGCAGGCTGGGGGTAGAGATTCAATAGCCTTCAAAAGGTTTTAGCAGAACTCTGTGTCCCAGGTCACTCTGCTTCCTCCAGCCTACCACTTGACTTGCCAAACTTGATTTACCAGCAGAGTGCCGACAATAAACATGTAAATCACGTTTCAAAAGATTAGTAAATGTCAATAGCCATGCAGGTGACTGAGATAGGAAGGCACAAAATGGAATACAGGCATTTCTTGTATTAACAGCACACAACTTGTTTGTCATAGCTTGTTAATTAGCAATGCAGTTTAGAAAACCGCTGAAAAATGACAGCTGAGAAGGCTAAGGGCATTATATAATCGCTGGGAAGGTAGGCATAGCCAGCTAACCATTATGGATGCTGATATGCAATTTTCCAAGTCGAGGCACAGGGACAATGTGCTTGTTAATTAAAAGTCATACTTTACACTTTAGACTTCAGGGAATAGGGTGCTATGCAATAATAAATAGCGGCAATTCGCTGGATTATTTCAGTTTTCAACAAAAGGTCCTGCCTCAGTGCTCTGGCACCAAACAAAGGATATGCTGACATATGGTCTTATGGTAACATGATCTGGACCATGAAGGATATAGAAAAATTAGTATAGCTAGACCCCTGCTGAGAGAGAAGGCTGTTCTCAAGGGGTGATTTATCATAAACAAGCCAAAGCCCTAGCCTCACCAGGGTACTCACACTTTAAAGGAGAAAAGCTGCCCTGCCAATTCTGTCTTCCTGGTTGCTGTGTGAACTGAACACCTGAAGAACATAAAAACCCCGCTCCTCACCTATGCTGCACCTTGAGAAGCAAACAGATTGGACAGTATTTCAAAAGCTAACAGAGGTGGCTTTTGTGTCACGTTAAAGATCAAATATAATGCCTGGCTTAACAGCTAGAGGAAAGTCATGAAAACAGAATAAATTGCCATGCGAATGCAGCCTTACAGACCCTTAGAAAAGAAATATTTAATCTCCCTTCCTTTCTTAAAACAAAGCAACACTTGCATACAGAGCAAATGACAGGCACAAAATTCAGGAAAGGCATACTTACCAGCTCTAGCCTTAGAGCTATGGAGTGGGCAAATATGCACAGCGACAACAGAAGCAGCATCATTTGAACAGTCTGGTTTGAGGTTTCTTAAATCTCAATTTACAGATAAAAATAGCCTTCACTACATGGAACCTTTCTTATCAGACCAAACTAACTAGTTATCACCCCCTCACTCTGGCCAATGATCTAGGGTGAACATTTTGTTGTTCTCTTCTCCAGCCCACATATCAGATCACTTTAATCTGCACAGATTATAGTCTACAACTGGCATGGTATGGAATAATTTATTTTGTGTATTTAGTATTGTCAACAACACATGTATGTGAATATGCATTTGTGTATGTGAACCAGTCATAATCCTAATATCAATCAATATCGGAACAACGAAACAATCAAACAAAATAAACACAAGAAATGCAGCTCTCAGTTCTAGTATGCATACAATCACTAAAACATTCTATAATTTAAGTATAGCAAAACAAAACAAGAGAAGTCTTCTAATTATAGGATATCCACAATGCGCTCAATATTGCGAGACCCAACATCATTCTGCACGCTTAAACTTAAGAAAATATAAACAAATACTTTATTCAATAACTGAATTGCATTCATCGATCCTGCTTTTACTAGGTACAGTCACTGTAGCTCTGTTCACAATCACTTGATGCCAAACTTGCTGAAACCCTTCTCCCAACAAAATAGGGTAGACATTTCCCTGTCCTGAGTTCATAATCCCCAACCTATTCCAACTTTGCACTGCAAGCATTTTCTGTTTGAACTGTCCAAGTCCAGCTTTGGTTTATCAATTATAGCTTGCCTGAGGTGACCTAACAAGGGCTAAACTATAAATGATGTCTACATTTAGCATGCAGGGGTTTTGTTTTATTTAAGTGCAAATTGCATCAGCCGGTGAGTGTGGGTGGATGTGATCAGTAACTGGAACGGAGCAAACGTGGAGAGGGGCTTTTACTTTTCCCTTCCAGCAGTGGTGTTAAAGCTAGTTAACATTTGGTCCTAAGTTTATCACATCTATGTGAGATTTGAAATATAGTAAACAGCACCACCTTTCAGATGCGGGAATCACATTGCCTGAAACTGGGCATGATGCACATTTCCAACAGGGAAAATACACAAGCTTCCCTTTGGCTACATATAGCAGAAGCATGAAAACAACAAGTTCAAATCACTTCCGCTTCTCCTACTTAAAGAAATAAATATGCGCTGTGACAAATGGAAACTGAAAACAAGTTTCCTCAAAAGTATCTTATTCCTTTTTAAAAAGCATTTTCTATACTTAAGGATGCTGTTGCTGGAAGGAAAGGCCTTTAAAATAATCACACACCCTTTTCCAAGTATTATTTCATTCTGGTTTTTTCTAATGTATACCCCGAATAATGTACACAGAAACTGCATGCACGGTAAACGGATTCCGGAGGTTATAAGTACACATTGCACTATACTGTATATGAAATTTAATTTCCTTCTATTAGCCAAGAAATGTATATTCGTTGCATAATCCTGAAAAACACACACGTTTTATGTCCTGCAAAGACCTTTGCTATCGGCTGTTCTCCCACTCCTGCAGTGTCAAATTGTACAAGCAGGCTTGGCAGACAGCATGAGGCAGTAGAAACCACACATAGCAAAGGGAGACTCATTTGTTTAAACCTGGTTTCACTCCACTCTTGTATGAAAATGGGGAAGTATGTGTCTGAACTTTAAAGGAAAAGGAGAACCAGAACCTTCCTTGCATCCATCACTTACTTCTTTGAAGATCTCTCACGACATGTTTTTACCTACTGTGAATTTACTGGAGTTTGGCGAGAAGAAAAGTACCTGGTGAGAATACTGTGGATAGATAGTTTAGCGCCGTACCTTACCTGTGTCACATCAGCAATAGAAATCAGACCTACGCAGCACATACATTATAAAGCAAAGAGGCCACCAACACATATAGTCTGAGCACTACAAGCATGCAGACACTGACTCCCACCCTTTTTTTCCCTTTTCATTTCGACTCTAGACTGTTTAAAAGAGGTGTTAGAAGATGTATATAAACTACTTGCAGGTGCACCCACGCATATTCAGGTAAATGACTTGTCAAGATGGATACTTGAAAGCAGAAAATTGCAAAGTACACATAAGTAAATGTGTGTTTTTAAAAGATGAGTGCTTTCACTCATGACATGGAGTCATGTCCTCTTTTCAAGTGCCTTAATGAGTGCACGACTAAGGTTTCTCCATCTTCATATGATTTATTTGCAAAGGCAGCCACACTCACAACAACAGTCATAACTCAACGGACAGCGGTAGCCACTGACCACAGGGCTTCTGCTTATGGCTGCACAGCTCTCAAAAGGGCACAGCATGCAGCGAGGCGATGTGAAAGGTGAAACTGAAAGAGCAGTTACATACCTTTAGAATCCTTCCTTTACCCCAGAATTCTCCTTCGTCATTGGAACAAGACTGCTATGATTCACCGTTGAATAGCAGTTTAAACCTGGTAAGTGAAAACAACAACACTTAGATGTTTGCATTTGTAAATAAAATTAATTAAAAGAGAAATGCAAAACTCTGCTGCAAATCCAAGCTTCCTTTCAGCCCATGCTTACTCTTATTTCCCTTCTGCATATGTCTTTCTCTCTCTCTCTCACTCCCACTTTCTAGAATTGCTACGTAGTGGTCTATAAATATTGGCCCCGACACTTGCCTGCTCCTTTACTTGCTCATGGCACAGGTCTGTGTTACTGTACACCATGGTATTACTGGGCTGGAGTCCTCAGCTGCTCAGACAAAGCCATGAATTGGCTCCTACCCTGCAGCTCTTTGCCTGCCTGGAAATACCATTTTGCTGCCAGCTTTACAGATGCTGTGGGCCTTTCCTGGAGGCTCAGATCAGGCACAGAAGGGTAATTATGAGGCTTGTCTGAAGAAACAGAGCTTTCTCCAAGCAGGTGGAAAAGCCGGAGGAAGGAGGAAGGGGAAAAGGAGGAGGGAACAACTACCTTTGTTTTGGCTAAATTGCCTGATCTCCAACCCCCTTTATGGCTTTACATATCTAAATATTATTCAATTAGGATCATTAAATTTAATTACTGTATAATATGGATGTCAAAAAATTTCTGGAAGACCATTCTTTAAAAGCAGCTTCTTAAAGAGTAAAAAATGTGCTTCCTAAGTGTTTTAAAGAGCATGCAGACTTTCTGAATGGCAGCAAGACACAATTACAGAGAATATAATAGACTTGGTAACAAATCCAGTGCAACCATATTTAAGAATATCAGCCACAGAAACCCAAAGCATTTAGAGCTACGGAAGACAAGTGCTAATAGCAAGTGCTAACTGGTTAACAAGACAGACAAAAATGCAGATTGAATTTGGAAAACTGACAGATTAATTCGATGGGATTTAATCCCAGGTTAAGCATGCATATCAGGAATTGCACCCTCCAGAAGTTGTTGACTACAACTCCCATGATCCCCAACCCGTGAGGCCAACGAACAAACATGATGGGAGTTGTAGACCCAAACATCTAGAAGGCACCTTGGTGTATATGATTGAAATCTGCCAGTCTGGCCCAGTGCTTCCAGTGATTTCCATTATCTTGTCCTGCAAATCTGCATGGTTTATTGTGCAGTGACCCGGCTTCACAGAATCACATATTTGTAGAGTTGGAAGGGGCTGCAAGGGCCATAACCCCTTGCAATTTAGGAATGGGAATGCCTCCATTTGTTCCATCATTTGTTCCATTTGGCCTCCATTTGTTCCATGATGTGGTCAGACTGAGTGAAACATCTTGCAGTTACTCTGAAACTGCAAGACACAGACATCCCCTATTTCTCCCTGTGCAGGAAAGGATTCAGGGGTCAGTGTACTGAAGCTGTCTTGTACAGAGCCAGGCTTTTGTTTCATCTTGTTTCAGTTCTTCTTGGCAGAGACCCTGCAGTGTCTGTCAGAGATCTCTTTCACCTCCTAGCTGATCATTTTTTAACTGGAGATGCCAAGGATGGAATCTGGGATCTTTTGTATCTAAAGCACGTATCTCCTGCATACAGAGGGAATTATTTGGGTTAATTCACACTGGGGAAGGGAACCCATGGCCCTCCAGATGGTACTGTGCTACAACTCGCATCATCCCTGACCATTGGCCATGTTGGCTCAGACTGATGACAGCTGGAATCCAACAACATCAGGGCAGTATAATGTTGGCAATCCCTGGCCAAGATTAGGGATGGGATGGAAAAATGCTTCTAATAGAATTTTCTAAACTGTGAACAGGGTTTCTCCCCTGCCAAAAATAACATCCTAAGTAGGCCTTGCTTTCACTGAAGCCAGCACTGGCAACATTTCTGTTTACTTTTGCATTGCAATTAGCTCGTTAGTGGTTTATAGTAATTGGCAATCTTCTAACGAGTTCCAATAATTAACACATTATTTATGAATTATTCAAATTCATCTTTGAATACTACTCAATGGCTCCACTGGAAAGCAACCATAAGACTAAGAATGTAAATAATACATTTATCACAGGCTACATTTATTATTATTATTATTATTATTATTATTATTATTATTATTATTTATACCCCACCCATCTGGGCGGCTCCAAATAGAATATTAAAAGCACGATAAATATAAATACATCAAACATTAAAAACTTCCCTAAACAGGGCTGCCTTCAGATGTTTTCTAAAAGCCAGGTAGTTGTTTATTTCCTTGACATCTGATGGGAGGGCGTTTGACAGTGCGGGCACCACTACTGAGAAGGGCCTCTGCCTGGTTCCCTGTAACCTCACTTCTCACAGGGAGGAAGGACCTCAGTGGCCGGGCTGAGTGGTGGGGGTGGAGATGCTCCTTCAGGTATACTGGGCCAAGGCCATTTAGGGCTTAACAAAACACATATCAGGTTTAGTTGAAAGCAACTTTTTTTTACTGGTTATGATATTGCCTGCATTCGCAACACTAAAGTAACATTAAAGCATGGCAATAAATGGGCAACAAGCTACATATGAACCAGGAATCACAGCTACAACAAATTCTGGTTAGTTTCAACAAGAAGCCAGATTTGTAACACATGGTTTTAAGCTGACTTGTTTTGAAACTTACTAGTGTTTGTCATAAATCAGTTATGTTTGCCTAACATGTGGGTGCATTTTCCTTTTAAAGAATGCCAGTTACAGTATTGGAAAAGGTTGCCAGCTTGGATCTTGTGTTGTTGTTGTTGTTGTTGTTGTTATATATTCATTTATTTATACTCCACCCTTTTCCCTGACAGGGACTCAAGGCAACTTACAGATAAAAATAAGAACATTAAGGACTCATTAAACAGTGACATTCTAATAAAACCATACAAATAATTACAATAAAAACAGCACAGCACCAGCACTTTCATTAAAAGCAGTTAGTTCCCAAAAGCTTGTCGAAACAATAAGCCAGTCTACCAGCCAGTCTATAAGCCAGAGCCAGCCAGTCTGGTACCATCTTTAGGGAGGGCGGTTCAAATGGGCACATACAAATTTTATTATTTAGAATTTTTCTTATTTGCTTGATCAAACAATTCTCTAAGCATTGTGCAAAAAACACCACCACCACCTCACACAGATAAAACATGGCTAAAATCCTCTAATACAGTGGTGCCTCGCAAGACGAAAAGAATCCGTTCCGCGATTCTTTTCGTCTAGCGGTTTTTTCGTCTTGCGAAGCAAGCCCATTAGCGGCTAAGCGGATTAGCGCTATTAGCGATTTAGCGGCTTAGCGGCTATTAAAGGCTTAGCGGCTAAGCTGTTAAAAGGCTATTAACGGTTTAGTGGCTTTGAAAAAGGGGGGGAAAGCGGGGGGGAAATGGCGAAACTCGCAAGACGTTTTCGTCTTGCGAAGCAAGCCCATAGGGAAATTCGTCTTGCGAAGCGCCTCCGAAACGGAAAACCCTTTCATCTTGCGGGTTTTTCGTCTTGCGAGGCATTCGTCTTGCGGGGCACCACTGTACATGTGTGTCTTATCTTATTTATTGATGTAGGTTCGTGGAAGAGAGAGTGACTGGCCCATGGTCCCCCAGCGAGCTTCATGGATAGCGGTAATTTCTTTTTTTAAAAAAAAAAAATAGTAGTTATTAATTTTTCAACAATTTAAACACAACGCTACAGAAAACCAAAAAACAAACAAACAACACAACAATACAATACAATACAAAAAACACTACAAAGCCCTAACACAAACAATTAACAAAACAAAACAAAAACCATTCAAAACACAATAGCAGTAATTTCAACCTGAGCCAAGTAAGACACTATAAGCAGTAGATCACATGGAAAAGTATTTGTGTCATGCACTTGAGATCCTGTTGTTTTGGGCAAGGTAAGTACACCTGTAAAAACCCTTTACACTGGTTCCACCAAACTTCAAAGGGGAATGAATCAGTAGAGGTTAAGTATTTTTTTGCTAAACTACATTGTAAAAAGTGTTGTTGTAATATCAAAGTGATATTAATAAACCTTATGGGAGTCTTTCTATAACATATTAAAGTAACTTCACCTCAACAAACTGCAGTAACCAAAAGTAAGATGTAGAGGAAGTAGCATAAGGCAATTATTTCTACTTTTTCAATCAGTACCTACAATATTATTGTCAACAAGCCCTAAATTCCAAGCTGCTCCTGCCTGATTGGGTCAACTGAAAGCTGCCAGTTCTCAGCCTCTTTCTCATAGGTGCTCTCATCTTCTTTGAATGGCTTCTGCTTCCTCTTTCCTTTATAAATGGACTTGGCTCTCTGTTGGCTGTGTTGCCCCAGCAACAGGGCCAGTATCATTCTGGAAGCCAGGAGTCTTATGCTGGGCATTCTCTGCCTTTATGCTCTTAGCGAATAACACTTCTGACTACCCGCTGCAGGCAACCATGGGGGTGGGGGACAAACTACTATTGTGGTCAGATCCTGCTTATGGATTTCTGACATGAATGTGGGTGGCCACTGGGTGAGAATAGGTCGTTAGACTAGATGGGCCAGGGGCCTGTTCCAGCAGACTGTTATTATGTTCTTATCTGTATATCTTCTCTTAAAGCAGGCATGGCCAAACTTGGCCCTCCAGCCATTTTGGGACTACAATTCCCATCATCCCTGACTACTGGTCCTGTTAGCTAGGGATGATGGGAGTTGTAGTCCCAAAAAGACTTGGAGGGCCAAGTTTGGCCATGCCTGTGTTAAAGCATCCTTCACCAATCTGGTACCATCCAGATGTTTTGGACTACAACACCCATCATCTGTGCTGGCTGAGGCTGCTGGGAGTTGAAATTCAAACCTGATTGGCAAAGGCCGTCTTAAAGAGATGGAATAATGGGATCAAAACTGTTAACTACAAATTTATAACGTTCTATGAACGATATAATACTGAACCATGACTAGCAACTAAACTAAAAGTTTCCCCCCATTTATTGACTGTCAGAGAGGTTGTCTACCTTCCATCATCCCAGGACCACATGTTGTTAGTTGACAATATCTGTAATTATTTTGCTTATTCAGTTA